CAGTAGTAAATGGCAGGATTTTATTAAGTTAGCCTGGCCTTCTTTCTCATTTCATTTGTATTTATGGAGTTCTCATTTTAAATTTAAAAGTGAGTATTAAAGTTTAGTAGTATTAATTTTTCAGCATGCTATTAAGTAGCATCCATTTTTTATCTAGTTTATAGCAGCGGTCTGTTGGGGTCTTAAACAGCTGTGTAGAATGTTACCTGTTTTTGAACTGGTCTAGTCCTTCTGCTTAACATCAAGCAGTTCATTAAAGTGGATTTTTATGGTATACTGGTTTTGAACCAGGACAACAGAGATCCAGTTTTTCCACCTGTGATTTAAGTTCTTTAACTTCCAAGGGAGGAGGAAGACAATTTGGGATGATCAGAGAGGGACAGTGGTTTTTAACTATAACTTCTGTCAGTTTTTCTGTAAGAGCTCTTAAGTACTAAGTAAACCTGCAGCCTCACATTCTGATTTGATGTCACCAGATAAAGCAAAATAGGAACCTTGAAGTATGCAGACGCTATAATTTGTCTATTGTCACATAGAAAGTATGAAATAAACCTACTTGCTCTGTTACAAAAAAATGTGTCTGTGGAAAAAATTACAATATGATGAAGGTCATTGATAATGAACAGAGTGCTGGCACTGGATGGCTACTGCATAAGAAATGCTTGCATATTATGTTTTGTCTGCAGTTTTGATAAGCATACTGATGCAAGTTATGTTTGCTACTTGTTGATATTCAGTAGTTTTGTAAGTATTTTTGTATTTCCTTGCCCTGTGGTCAGGAAGTGAAGTAGAGGGGGAAAGGAAATCTGAAATTTTTGTCCATCATCAAGACCCTACTTTGCAAAATTTAGGGGAAGCTGATTAATGCTCAGTTTCAGGAAACTATTCTGTTCTGCATATATTTATGAGTGCATATAAATAACGAAGGATTTTTCTTGCTTATCAATTTCTGCAAAGTAATTTTAATTCGAAACATTATTTGCTGAAGGGGGAAGGAAGCAAAAAAAATACACACTTTTGATACTCTTTTGACACTGTAAGGTGATATTTGAAAACTACAAATTAAAGAAGGAACCTCTATCTTTGGAGAAAGATTCATCTTATTTTTCCTCATTTAATCAGTATTCTGTATGTTAATACCAGCATAACCATATGTGGTGGGTTGACCTTGGCTAAGGGCCAAAATCCCACCAGCTGCTCACTCACTTCCCCTCCTCAACAGAGCAGGGGGAGAAAATAGGGCAAAAAAGCCTACGGATCGTGGTAAATACAGGGAAACTGCTTACCAGTTACCATCGCAGGTAAAACAGACTTGAGTTGGGGAAAATCAGTTTAGTTTATTGCCCGTTAAAATAGATTTGGGTAGTGGGAAACAAAGACAGAAATTAAAACATCACCTCCATTCCTCCCCTTCCCAGGCTCAACTTCAGTCCTTTGCTCCTTACTCCCTTACCCCTCAATCCCAAGTGCTGTAGAGGGATGGAAAACGGTGGGCTGTGGTCAGTTCAAAACAGTCTTTCTCTGCTGCACCCTCGTCCTCATGCTTTTCTTCTCCTGCAGTGTGGGTCCTCCCATGGGCTGCAGACCTTCACAACAATCCTGCTCCTGTGCATGGGTGTTCTACAGGCCGCAGTTCCTTCAGGGCATATCCACCTGCTCCAGCATGGGGTCCTCCATGGGCTTGCATGGTGGTTACCTGCTCTGGTGTGGGGTCCTCCATGGGCTTGCATGGTGGTTACCTGCTGTGGCGTGGGGCCCTCCAGGGGCTGCAGAGGCGTACCTGCTCCACCATGGCCCCTCCAGGGGCTGCAGGGGAATCTCTACTGGAGCACCTCTTCCGCTTCCTTCTGCTCTCACCTCAGCGCTCACAGGCAGTTTCTCATACTTTTTCCCATACTCCTCACTGCTGGGCAATGTTTTTTCCTTCTTTCCCTGAGGCACCACCATCTTGGCTGCTGGGCTCAGCTGTGCCCTGCCCTGGGTCCGTTTGAACCAGCTGTGTCCAGCACAGGGCAGCTCCAGCCTCTCCTTACAGCAACCACCCCTGCAGCCCCCCAGCTACCAGCACCTTGACACCTAAGCACCTACACCCAATAACGCTATTGTATTGCTTACGTAGCATGTGTTGCTGCTAAATACGCTGTATTACACCGTAGGAGAAAATATAGGATGGGTAACTGTTTGCAAGGGCACATTTTCCTCAGAACAAAATGTTGTGTAGGTCAGTCTTCATTGTACTGCAGATGGCAAGCAGACTTAAATGCATTGGCAAAAAAAAACCAAAACCAAACCCCAGACCTTTAGGTCTCCTTCTCAGAGTGCATAGTCATTTTTTTACCATGTTCATCTCTGCAATTGTTTACTTAAAACAAAGAAGGTCCCGAGATGAGAGTGGCACATAATTATTGGAAATGCACATGAAATCAACCTAGATATCATTTGATACATAGGATTCTTAGTTTCATTAACTACTTGATCCGGATGACTGTATATCTTCCGCTTTTAAATAGCTTTGTTTGTCCTTATGATATTTTGTCTTCTAGTGATTTCTGCTGTTTGTCCTTTGAATAATCACTTTTCTCTACATTTCCCAGATTTCATAACAACAGTTAGAAAGCCCAGTAGGAAGACAGAATCTTTGAAATATATATGATTTTCCATTCATATTGAAAAAAACGATTTGAACGAGCTTTATCATCACAAATATTTTTTTCAATGTGTAAGAAAGCTTAAACCTGCTCCAAAATTGCAAATGGGTTCCTCTGCACCCAAGGGCCAGGACGTTTACCACTGAGATAGATAAACAAGTCTTGTGTAAGCCAGGCTGCTCTGCGGTTTTGCATGATGTCTTCTGAACTAAAGATTTCCAGCCCCTGTTATGCATACCGCTAATGTCACATGAGCAGTCTAAGTGATCTACAAACACTGTTTGAACAGGCAGGTGTTGCTGCTTATGTACATGCATAGCCTGATACAGAGCTGGAAATGCTGATGCTTTTGCTGTTGCAAATAATGGCATCTTAGGGGAAAAAAAGTTAGGAAAGTTAGAAAAAAAAAAAGGGGGGGGGGGGGGGGAACCACAGAGTTCTCAGCAACTTGTGCATACTGGGTATATATACTTTCCATTTTCCTTCCCTTCCCTAAACCAGCCATCTAAAAAAGAAAGACTTTGGGTCATCTAAGGAGATAATTCTTTCCCTCATATTTGTGAGCTTGAAGATTTGGCTTTGAGGTTTATCAGGCTGAAAGGTACATGATAGCCTATAAATTTTATATAACAAACAAGAAGAATTAGTAATCTTTCCCCCTGTCCATCTCTGTCTTTCTCAGTCCAGAGTAAATATCCTTCCTCTTTTCCCAGTGATATAAGGGATGAGCTGGACTTGCAACATCTTGCTTGTTTACTCTTTTTTTTTTTTAGCCTGGGAAGGAGCTGCCCCTTTGCTATCACATCAGCCTAGACTGCATGGACTTTTTAAGATGCTGACCTAGCTTAGTGGTGAGGTAACATTCCTTTGTCACAGGCAGATTCCTAATATTTGTGTAGCACAGGGATTGCCTCATAAACTGGGAATGAAAAGGTTTAACACAAAGCCAGCTGAAGAAGTTTGACAATGGTGGTGTTTCTCCTTATGAATAGTACAGTGAAAAAGCTACTGTCTTTCTGTCAATTTTTTCATCCATGTAGATGCAAAAAGGAGTGAGTGGGGACTAGTTAACAAAGCAAGGTTAGGTCGTATTCCTGCATTAGGTGGTATAAATGAAGGATGGTCTTTACTGAGTAAGCTACTGCCAGATAGTCTCATAGATTTTTGTTACCAGTGCTGTGACTTCACTAACTCACATTCAAATGGTGTGCAGGATAGGTTAGTCTAGCAAGAGTCTGTACAACACAAGACTGAATTAAATACGTGCCACGCGAACACCTCAGATTCTCTAGGCTGCATTGTAAACTGTCCTACCCAGCATGAAGGTGCTGCAAGCCTTGAATGGAGCCTCTCAAGTCCACTGTAGTATCAGTGAGCAAGAATGATTTATGAAGGTAAAGGTGGTAACAGTTTGCTACCGTCGTGGGGTTTTTTCTTCTGTTGGTACTTGATGGAACCAGGGTAGTCCAAAGACTACAGTGTTTGTAAGTGTCAGCAATGTCCTGAGCATTCAAAGCTTAATTCTTGCAAATCCTTTGCAGTGGAAACAAACCTCTTTACAATGGGAAACATTTATAGGGAGGGGTAAAATGTTTGTTGCTTTTATTTGGCATTATTGTGTTACATAGAAATTGAATGAAGTCACTCTAATCGATTTACCCACTCAAAAGATTAGTTAGTACTAAATATATTTTGTTTCCATGGGTGTACATTCATTACCAATCCAAAATCGGTACTGTGTGGCACTCAGTGAAAGCATTCTGTGAAACAAATTAGCATTATCTTTTTATCTGCTTTAAGATATTGCCTACTTCAAATAAATGAACAACACACTGGCTAGCATTTTGTGTTCTTGGCAGTTTCAGTAGACTGGCTAAGGTTTGGGCCATAGACCAAACTATGCTCTTGCCAGTTAGAGGCAGCTTTTTCAAGTAAGCAGTGTAGACTAGAACTCTACAGTATCTTTGTACGTGCTCTCTGGATAAATAATTCCTGTTTCAAAGGTTGTCCAAATTAATATTTTTACTTTCATATGTCATGTTTTATTGAACATTTATGAACATGTATGGCATGTATTATTATGCTCTTACGTAAGTCTTGTTTCACAGTCTGCAGGGTAGGGTAGAATATTCCTTAATTTATAAAAGTATAAGTCAAACAAAAGGGAAACTACTGATTTGTCTCACTGGATATACTTAGGAAATCCTAAACTTAAGGAAAAAAGAACTGTGTTAAAAGTTTAACCCATGAACAAAACTTATTAAAGCTGTTGTAGTTTAATGCAGAGATATTCTTCATTTCCATGTTTGACACACACTACTTTGACTCAATTTTGTTTTTATTTCCATTTAGGACGTGTAGGAACACCTCATTTTATGGCCCCAGAAGTGGTAAAAAGGGAACCTTATGGGAAGCCTGTAGACGTTTGGGGTTGTGGCGTGATCCTTTTTATCCTGCTAAGCGGTTGTTTGCCTTTTTATGGAACCAAGGAAAGATTATTTGAAGGCATTATTAAAGGAAAATACAAGGTAAATGACAGTATACTTGAGTCCTTTTCCAGTGAGATGAGCTCTGCTGGTAAAATTTCTGGAAGTTGATTTTTGTATTTAGCCTGATTTAAATTTGAAGCTTATAAAAATCGTCTGTCTTACACAGGAAAAGACACCATTTTTTCTCTCCGGTCTATCTTGTTCCTGCTGTGCTTCATATCAATGTGAGGAATTAGAATATGGAAATACTTCTTTGGGCAACAACTAGCCCCTAACTGTACATTGAACTCAGTAGGATTACATAAGGTTTAGCTGTGAAGTGTAACATACTGTATGTTACCTTGGGTTTATAGCTTATTTAAATTTTTTAATGAACTAAAAGAATTAGCATAAAGGCTGGTCATCATATTGCTTTAATTTTTAAAAAAATTATGCTACTGTAAAGGTGTAGTTATGCATTTTTCTTTTTAGTACAGTATGTAGTAAAGTGCAGCTGATGATTCAAAATGAGCCACTTGCAACTGAAAGCAAACCAATGTGTGTGCAAGATAAACATTTTTCACAACGTAAGCCTCCTAGAGCATTACGGAGGCAAATTTAAAGCTTCAACTTCACTATTTTTGTAGTTTTGCTGAAGGTCGGTTTTGCTCTACTTTGCAACCAAGGTCATACGTGAGCTGTGTGTTAGTGAATTAAGAGTGGAAACTCCTAAAACTGTCTGATAGTCTGTAATATGGTTTAGGAAGTATTTTATTGTATGAACTTAACAGCAGCCTGCTAAAATGTAAGTGATAGCAGTGGTACTGCACTTGGTCAGGAGCGTATTTTTCATTCTTTAAATTATATATTCTTAGAAACAGCAGGATTTCTTCATGGCACTAGTTTCGGGATTACATAGACAAGTAGGCGTACCAGTTGCATGTTATGGAAGATTTCTTTATGGAATCTCGTAAGCAGCTAAAACCTTCTGGAAGCGTACAAGTTAACTTTTCTTTGTTTAAAAAAAAAGTCATGGCCAGCACATTGTGTCTTCTCAGTTCCTTTTCTATTCCTGTTTCCACAGTAATATGTCTATTCAGTGAAAATAGTATAAGGATTTCAAAACAGTCTTGCTGCAAATTTGCAACTGCCTTCATTTCATTAGAGCTGAAAAAGAAATGACAAATCACAACTATAAATGTGCATTTCATAGCTAATGTTCCTGAGTGCTCCAATTTAAAGCAATCATTTTTTGTAAAGTCTGATTTTAACTAAAATGGACATCTTTAAATGAACAGATTATAACACTGAAAAGAGTCTGGTTATAATTTTGAATTTTCATTTAGTACCTCGAAAATTAGCAGTGCACCATCTAAGTAAAACTTAAGTTCTTCATAAATTAAAGAAATACTAGAAATAGCTTAAGGATAGAATCCTTTTTCACAGAAAGAATTTTCTTACTTTAGTATGGTTTTATCAGGTGTCCATCGTCTTGACTAGTTGTACACAAACCTGCACTATGCACAAGATGAAAATATATTCTAAATCATCCTTTGCATTGTTGTCTCCTAAAGATACAGTTCTGCTCTAAAAGTGTTGCAATTGCTTGTATTGTTGATCATGTTAGTATGCTTTCCTACTCGACTGGCTGAAGATTAACTGTTGTAAAGTTGAAAGGAATATATTGGGAAGAGCCATTGTCCATGATACCTGTGGGACAGGACCAGAGTAGTTCCCAGTAGGCATTAGCTGACTCCCTTCTTACTCAGCATCAGTGGCATGAAATTGTGAGTTGATACAGACATGCCATTCCTTATAGTGGTTTTAGGAGTAGATTTAATTGCTACGTTTATCATATGCATAGTTACCTGTCAGACAGAGGCTAATTAGTTTTTCTATTGAAGAGTCACTTTTTATCTGAACAAAATGTAGCATAGGTAAAAAATTATGCTGTGATTATAACATAATACCAAGGATAGGTCAGCTTTCATGTGATACAGCGCTAACTGTTTTCAATTTTGTTATGCCATTTCAAAAGCAACTAATGTACAGTTTTGTAAGTTATTAAAAAGCATAGAAACTTCCTTTTACCTTTATCATGATAAAATGCTTACAAGTACCAACCATTGTTAAATCTCTGCAATTACTTTACGTAAAGAGTAGTTTCTTTTCTATATTCTTATTACTAATTTAATTTCTTTTTTCTTGCTTGTAATCAGATGAATCCTAGGCAATGGAGCCATATTTCTGAAAGTGCCAAAGATCTGGTACGCCGCATGCTTATGCTGGATCCAGCAGAAAGGATAACAGTATATGAAGCACTGAATCATCCCTGGTTAAAGGTAGTAAAAGCAGCTGTTTACATACCAGTTTCCTCTTCAAGGGAGAAAAAGATTTATTTCTTTTGTTTCTTTGAACTTTTCAAAATAGACAGGTCATTGTACAAAATGTGTGATGATACACTTCAAATGCTTTGCAATATTAGAGCCTGAGATTTGGATAATTGCCAGGCTTGAACTCTTGCTTAACAGCTAGAGCAAACTCACTTAGGCATCTTCGGCAGCATCAGAGTATGGGGAGTAGGGCTGCGTAGAATAAAGTTTGAAGAATGTGTCTTTCTGTGGCTCTTAAACTCCAGAGGAGTAATTTCTGATCTCTTCTTCGCTCAGTCATAGCTAGACCTCTTTCCTATTATACATGTAACCATGCAGTCTGTTGCAGTACACTACGCTACTTAACTGTGCTGCTTTCTTACATTACATTCCTGAAATGTCCCACCAGAGTGAAGGAAGTATGTAGTGGTGTGTTGCTCAAAGGCCGCTGTAGCTACATAGAATTATATAGTATCTGGTAATCAAATTATTTTTCAGTGGTGGCCGAATTTACAACACAGTTTGAGCCAGTGGAAGAGTAGTTGCTGGATGCTGAAGGTTAACAACAGGAGCAGGAGAATATGCACCTAGTTTCTCAGCAGTCCCATTAATAGGCTGTGCTAAACATTGGAGTTGGAAAATGATGGGTGTGTTGCAGATTTAAAAGGTGGCAAGTACCGGTTCAGAGCATTGTATTTTCTTTGGCAGAAACTGATGAATTAACTTTTTATTTGTTATCCTCTATTTCTTTTCTGTAGTGTGGGCCCAGGGTAGAGAGAGTCATAATATCATTAACTTCAACAGGGCACTTATTTGGAAAGGGTGCTATTCTGGTGTCTGCTCCTGGACTGTTTATATGTTTTACGTTAGACAAATATTGACAGAAAAAAAAAAAAAACCAACACAACGAACGAACCTGGGAAGCACAAGCTCGTATGTTCTTCTCCCACCAAGTAACTGCTAGTGAATGGAGTCATTCTTCCACTTCTCTGCTCTCCTTCTGGCTCTGACTCTTTTATTCCAAGCTGCAGAATGGTCTAGCTTATAAGAGGAGATGCATGTGATAAACATTAACATTAAATTAATTAGTGTATGTAGCTTCTGTGATGATTTGGGGCAGGGGAAGAAAGCAGTCAGCTGCTGCAAGTTCTGCCCCCACTGTCAGCTGTTCATTGGCAAATGTTTTGTCTGCATCTGCAATGGAGAATTCTTCCTGTAAGTTAGCGCCTGGTGTCACCAGCCATCGAGCTGGCACTTCCTGCTCTATTGGACACGTACCCCATCTCCCAAGCCTACCTGAAGTATCAAACACCCTTAAAAGCTTGCTCGAACACGGTCTTCACTGGGATTTGTGAATCACAAGAAGCAGAACTACTTTGTGCTTGCCAGCTTTAAAGTTCAGTGCTAGCCACAGACTAACAACACACCAGTAAAACAAAAGGCTAGGGTCTTACTACAAAGTGGGAAACAAAATATCCCTGTCCCAACTTAAGAATTATTTCAAAATATTTTAATCTCTCTCAGTTTCTTGAAGTTTTCCTTAAGTTGCAAGAAATCCTCATTCTCCTTAGGGTACTTACTAGCTGGTACATTTCTTGTCTAGTTTCTTAATGTCGAGAGAATATTAAGAGCTTACACTTAATGTTTCTTTTGTTTTGTTTTTTGTGGGATTTTTTAAGGAGAGAGATCGCTATGCATACAAGATCCATCTTCCAGAAACAGTAGAACAATTGAGAAAATTCAATGCAAGACGAAAACTAAAGGTAAAATAAATGTAGTGTTAAAACAATATAATTACATAACTTGATTTTGTGTGATACTTTATTCATTTTAAAAGTGCTAAGAGAAATATATGCTCTGAAATCAGCAATAAAATAAGAAGTTGAAACAGGCCTTCACAGTTGTTTATTGCAATGATGTCTTGTTAATGGTGTTCATCCTTTCTTTCATAGTGCATAGTTTTCAAACTAAATTTCAGCGCAAATTGTCTGGTATCAGCTGACGTGTGTATGAGGTCTTCATCTTAAATTAATTCAGTAATTCTTTGTAATATGAATTATTGGAGAGGAGAGAATAGTACAATGGCTTCTGTTATCATGTTACATTTACAATAAAAGGACCATAATAATGTTTTAATATCTTTTTTCAAGAAGAGCAAAGATGTATTCTTCAGTTTATCCCCGTTATGTTTAACTACACATGGGATTATTTCTCAGCTGTATTGAAAAGTATGTTAACATTTTAGCCCAAAGCAACATGGTTTCACTTCAGCTCCTATCTTGCGAAGTTTTAACAGAAACATTTTTAAATTCAGCGAAAGGGTGAGAAAATTTTAACAGAAACATGCAGCATTAAAATTCATGAGGTTTTCTTATGATTTGTAATAAAACACAGAGTCAGATATATGCACCAAGTTGCTGCTTTGCAAAAATTAGATGTAACTGGAAAAACAACTGATGATTAGGATGCAACAGTTGCTGTAGTTCATGATTTCTCTTAGGTGGTTTGTATGTCCAGGTAATGCTTTAATTAAAATGTTAGATAGTACATTTTAGAATATGACCTGTTTTCCTGCTCTGGACACAGTTTCAGGTCTTTTCCAGTTTTCTTCCCGGGGAGGCCACTATATTTAGTCTCCTGAGACCTTTTATACCTGTGCTATTTGTTTTCCACCATTTTGTCCTAAGCACTCTTCTGCAGTGTGTTTTCTGAAATTATTTGTTGTCCATTTTGCCTACTGCCACAATTGCACAATATTAAAACCTGAGTGTTTAAACTGTAATTTACTTGAACAAGTAAATATATGTCAGCAGATAACCATTTTTCTGGCTCTGTAACTTCCCGTGTAACACTCATACTGGGATTCTGGGATTATTACATTTTCATATGGATATATATTATGGAAGTCAAATATCCTAGTGCTGTCAGTGTCAGATTCTGACAATTCCTCAAATAACAACATATTGTGTTGCTTTAAAGAGTGGGGTTTTGTACTTGCTAAGCCACCCAACCTAGGTAAGAGGGAAAGAAGTAAATTAGTTATGTTGTTTACATTGCACTATGGGTATTTATGCCTCACACTTACTATTTTTAAATGCTTTCCCGTAAAAAATTGTTCTCATGAATCCCCTTGCAAAGAATTTATTTACTGTTTATTAGAGTAATGAATGACCAGCTCTTCTCTTAAATATGGTCACTGGTAACAGTAAAACAGAGCTGAAGACTACAAAGTTTATTTACTCTTCTGTGAGAAGGTCAACACATGAGAGACTTTGGGAGATTGAGTGACCCAGGGTGTCTGGAAATGTTTCATTATCCTTCTTTCTGTAATTTAGACTGTTTGGATATTTTTATTCAGGGGGCAGTACTAGCAGCTGTGTCAAGCCACAAATTCAACTCCTTCTACGGTGACCCCCCTGAAGAGCTGCCAGACTTCTCTGAAGACCCCACCTCCTCAGGTATTTTAACAGAAAGTATATTTACTGCAGTCAACCTGTCTTAATTCTATACTGAGTAGAATACCAAGTATTTGCTAACTTCTTATGATTCCATAAAGTTTCATATTAAGTTAACGTTTGAATGTGAAAGCATTTCAGTCGTAATGGTGTTAGTGACTGGAGAAGATGAAGAGGAAATCTCTACACAGTTGTAAGTTTCTACAGAAATTTTCTGATGTTTTTATTTGTTGTATGTACATTTAATTACAAATAGTGCTATAACCTCGTATTTCTCTCTATATTACTTGAGTGTAAAAGCTTATTGAAATTTTTTCTTGAATTCTTAGGCAGGAGCAAAGTTCTCCTAACTTACTAATAGTTGTTTATAAAAAGAAACCATTGTGTACCAGTTTCTTGACTTCCTGTTTTATAGAACACTATGATTAAGATGTCTCCTCTTTAAAACATGCTAGGCAGTATTTCTGATACTATAACCCAGACCCCCAAATCTTCAGAGAGAGACAATATATGTACTTCAAGGAGCTCCCAACATACTTCAAAGGGGAAGATAATACCTTTGCTGTGCCATGAGCACGTAGCTAGGCCTTGGGCAGGACAGTGATCGTACTCCAAGCAGTCCTTTTGTCCTTGGCCCATATTCAGGAATTTAAATAACCTGGCAGCCCCCATACTAAAACAGCCCTGTCATATTTAGGTATCTTAATTTTGACGTAACATTACTCACAACATTTGTAGTGCAAAAGCCTATCTGACCTAAAATGAGGATTTAGGATCAAGTTAAATGATCCTTTAAGAAAAATCTAAGGCCAATAGGACTCTCTCTCTTATTTTTATAAACAATATTACTGGCAACATATTTTAGCTATACACTGACTTCACTAGATGACGTTTCAGGAACTTAATTACATGTGCTGAATTGCTATACGATAATTCTGTTTCCCAATATATTTATAGGTGAGAAAAAAACTTACTGACTGCATATGCTGTGTGTTCCTTTTCTGCTCTTTCACATGAGGAAATAATTTTTATAAGTTATTTCAGTGTCATTAATATAGGAACTGGGGGCAATTTATTTGGCTGAAATCCTTACATTTCACTTATTGGAATTCAAGATTGAGTACTTAAATTAAAAGATTGCTTTGTCCCTAGAGGTGCACACTGCTCATAATTTCCATAGATGTGAATGGGAATCTCAGATCATTTATTGCAAATGGGTAGTCACAGCCTCATGGCTTAACTTCAGGCAGACAGCTCTTGAATACTTGATGTACTTGTAAGTAAGGATCCATATATTCTTTTAAAGAAAGAATAAGTTGGTTTTACTTCACCCAGAATTACTTGAAGCGCTTTAATTTTTGTTTCCAGCTACTTCCCCCATTTCAATAAAATGAATAGGCCACCAACATGACTGGCAGTGGCAACTTTCCTAATCTAAACACTGCAGTTCCTCTTTCCAGTTTCAGTCTGACATCAACAAGGCATGTGTCTTCCTCATAGGATGATGTAATTGCAGATATCAGTATATAGCAAAGGTACAAGTTCTACTTTTTCTGCTCACAATACACATGTAAATTCTACAGAATATCTGTGCTGGATCCACTGTTATCTTGTGTTCGTCTCTGAAATAACTGAAACAATAGCTTGGATTTCTCAGGAAAGCGTAGTTATTCTCTAAAATAACACTGTTGATCTCACTGATGGCAGACTACAGTGATCAGGAAACCATACTAAGTGTGTAGTTTTCATGATGTTTCCCTGACTGACTACATTAGCTGATAAAATATTTAATATCTCAGGGTAAACAATGAGGCTTGCAAGAAACGATACTGCAACTTTCAGCTTCTGAAATTGCTAGATACAGAAATCTATTTTGTTTCCTCTTCAGAAGTACACTAATAAAGTTTTCAAATATTTCTAGCTTATTAAGGTAGGCTCTTGTGATGATTCTAAACTGAACTCATTTATAGAAATTAGACATAAAACTCTTGAATTGCAGTAGAAACTTGTCTGTCTTAAGGTTATTTAAGTTTCCTTCCTAACTTCCCGTAATGTTATTCCAGATCATAAACTCTAATGAAGAGCGTTTAATATTTTAAATGTTGCTGCCTATTTAATCCTCCCATAAAATTTCATGAAGATTACCATTAAAATTAAATGATTTGTCAGAAATGGGCAAATGTGGAACTCCTACTGAGATAAAGATGCAGAGTTGTAAATGCTTATTAGGTTATGCAAATTGTATATCCTGTCCTCCTCCAGGTCTTTCTAAACACAGAAACAGAACATTTCAGTTCTGTCTTTTTTTCCAAATTAATCTAGAGGTGGTGTTCTCAGAATTCAGTGAAGCTGGGATTGCTGGACAGTTTGAGTATCTTCCTGTACTACCAGAGTAGTAGCTTGGGGTATGAAGGCACTGTAGTAGCAAGTCAGATGACTTCCTTAGATGCAGAATCAAAAAGCATATTCTTGTCAGAGCATTTTCCAATGAGGGTCAGCAAACTGCATAACTGAATTAGATGGGAATGAACACGGAAAAAATCCATTTAAAGTCAACCAGCTATTTTTCTGTACACATCTTCCTCTTATTAATACAGAGTGTGTTAATAATTCTTGTTCCCACAGCTTATTCTGGGTGATCTATTTTCTCTTTCATCAGCAACTGTCCTCTGGAGGACTTAACTCAATCCCACTATCATTCTGCTGGTAACATGGCAGAAGTCAATCTTGCTGAATTTTAAGAGAGTATGTCAAAGGCTTTTAAAATGTTTTGAAAAATCAGGTAAATATTTATTAAACTGAAATATTACTTTGCTGTTCATAGGCTGTGTTCAGTAACTTCTTTAGTAAAGCCACTAAGCAGCCGAAATGACAAGCATGTTGCAAATGTTTTTTGCTAGAATGTAAACCACTTGACTTTCAGGTTGCCTGTCTTCAAGACATCGTAAAATGTCAATTTCCCAAGGCAGTGAACGTTTTGGATATTTTTAATATGCTGAAACAAATATAAATCAGAAGTTAGCAATCAGCAGCCCTGAAGGCTAAATCTGGCACATGAGGAAAATTGGCCCAGTAGAGAGTATTTAAAGTAGACCGTGAAGTTAATTAGGTGCTAGAGAAATGCAGAGTCAGTTTGCTCTCTGCTGCCCTTCTCCATCGTGCTCCCTCCCCTCTCCCCCTCCCTCCCTGGCTCTCCTATCACCTGATTGCACACTAGATCAAGACAAGAGGATTTCCTCTGCTTGTGTCACATGCTGACCATTTGCCCCCTAACAGAGAGTGCAGAGGTATAATTTTCAAGTGGTTTGATAATAGTGCCTCGAGCTGAAGAATGAACATCACCAGTGTAAAGCTTTTTGGTTTGCCTCCTTTTGCTTCTTCAGCCCGCCATTCTGCAGCAGCCCAAGGAAAGGCTGTGGAATTGTTTGACATTTGGCCTTGGGAAGCTGAATTTGGGAAGACCACTTAGTTTACTTTGGAGTTTTAGGTAGATTTAGGATGTTTAGGTTTTTAAGCCTACAGTTAGAAAAGTCAATAAATTGAATAGGTTTTTTATAACTCTATTTCTGTTGTGGTTTAAGCCGGCAGGCAGCTGAACACCACACAGCCACTCGCTCACTCCCTTACCCCCAAGGGGATGGGGGAGAGCATCAGGGAAAAAGTAAAACCTGTGGGTTGAGATAAAGACACTTTAATAAAACAGCAGAGGAAAACAATAACAATAATAATAATGGTAAGAGAATAAACAGATCAAGTGATGCACAGTGCAATTGGTCATCACCAGATGACCGATGACCAGCCCATCCTGAGCAGCGATCGCTCTCCCCCAGCCAACTGCCCCTCAGCATGACTTCCTATGGTGTGGAAGAGCCTTTGGGCCAGTTGGGGTCAGCTGTCCTGGCTGTGCCCCCTCCCAGCTTCTTGTGCCCCTTGCAGAGCAGGGGAAGCTGAGAAGCCCTTGACCAGTGTGAGCACTGCTCAGCAACAACTAAACCATCAGGGTGATAGTAACATTCTTCTAGTCCTAAATCCAAAGCACAGTGCTATGCCAGCTACTGGGACAAAAATTAACTCTGTCCCAGCCAAAGCCAGGACAATTTCCAAAAACCTTTTTGTAGCCACATTGTCAGAAACACTGAGCCAGTGTTAGTGTTAAGCCAGTGGACAGTCCATAGTCTTTGGAAAACTGCATAACTGATTTTTAGATTAACCTTTTGGTTAAAGGACTTTCCTCTATAATGCCTGCTTGAATTGCTTGGTTTTACAGTGCTCATATTCTGAAGCATGACTAACAAGTTTCAGAGTAGCTTTTTGCTGCAGTTCTAAATTCCTGTAAAGCATTTTATAATGCTGTGTGTCAGTTTAACCACAGAGAAAGTACAGCAGCATATTTTATAACAGACTGACCAAATGTACTTATTTAGCCTGGGCTAACAAATAGCACTGTTTGCAGTACTTTCTGAACATTTATGTGCTTTCTGAGCTTGGTGGTAATGGAGTAACTAGGTGACAGATGTAGAAGCAGTGCTTTTGCATTCCACAGAAAGGCACGTTAAGGCTACGTCAGTGTTTTCTAGCTTGTTTTCTCAAACTGCAAGGCACAAATTTCGTATGGCATTTTCATAAATGCATTTTGATATTTTGTCTCAGGATTTCTGTACATAAATTGAAATTTTCATTCTTTTTTATCTCGTTAGAATCTATATTGTCATGTCAAATGAGAACATTTTAACGGTATGAGACCTTGATTTTCAAATTTGAAAGTAACAATGGGAAAAAAGCTAAATTTTATAGTCTTGCAGAGTTGGATCAAACAGCAAATGTACAGCTAAATTGTAAGATCACTGCAGCATACATGCAACTAGCTTAACTCACAAGTTAGTGAGTGGTTAGTAGTTTCATGGGATTTAGATTCCATGAAATATGGGCAATATAAGCCCATATCTTAAAAACGATCAGTCTTATCAACATGAGGAAGAAAAAAAATACTGTTGTTATGCAAA